CACTATCCTATTTTTTTTATTTATTTGCTGTTGGCCGCAGACGCCACAACAAAGCAAATTTTTAGACGCCATGCAGGGATGTGTGTGTGAGCCAGAATCCTGTCTCTGTATGCGTGCTGGGGCACTATGCCGGAAACGTGACTTATTTGAAATTTATGTACTTTTTAGCCAAGCGCCAGGGAAAAAGCAAGGCTTTACCCTAGTCAGGGATAAAAAGGGAAACAGCAAACAGCGGGCCAGCGGAAAAAAGGCAAACAGCGCGATTTATAGAGCAAATTCCACCCTAAACCCTAAACCGTTCCTTTTTTTTCGGACAATTTTAATTATTTTTTATTTGTTAGCTGGGGCTTAATTAGAAAAGCATACAAGCCCAACATGGCGTATGTGCAATATGCAAATGCAAAATGCATTCGCCAAAGAACAACAATTCACAAATTGAAATCAACGAGCATACAACTTGATAGGTTTTTGTTTGTTCCATTTCTGCCCCGCTATATCCGCCATATCCTCGATATCCTCTATTTCATGTCCTGTGTGCTCTCCTTTCTGGCTCGTTCGTTTTTCGTTTCGTTTCGTTTTTCAGCTCGTGTCACACACGCCATTCACTTGTTGTTGGCTTTGTTGCTGCTGTTCGACATGCATCGATTACATAAACGGGAGAGGGGGAGGTGGCTGCGGGGAAGGTCCTGGCTGTCGAAGGATGCGGGAAGGCGGGGCGGGGAGAGGAAGGGGGCAGGAGCTGCGGCAGAGGTCGGGCGAACGGCGACATAAGTCACGAAGCTTTTGCTAATGATGAGGGCCTTGATGCTTTTTCAATTAACCAAATGTGTGACATACACAGCCGAGATAGCAGGCCTGTTTTCTGTGTGTGACAGTGACAACAACTTGTCCTGGCATAAATCAAAGCGAAATCGACTGCGGAACAACTCGAGCATTAATCAAGACAGGTTTTAGTGTTTTTTGCCTAATTATCATGTCGCAACCATTGGATGATCAGGGCAAAATCAAAATCTTCCCAGAGAATGGACTGGAAGACATTCAACGCATTGAAAATGATACATTCAAGGACCTCCTACTGAAGTACAACAATATAAAGGATAGCTCCAGAAAACCTGAACCAGAAGAGCCGGCCCAAAACGAAAGTGGCCAAGGGAAATAAGCCAGTAGAGAGCAGCAGCAGCCAACAGTTGACTCCTGATGAATGTGCAGCCAATAAATCCATTCAGACCACTTGCATAATTATTATTATAATCCCCTGAGCCACACACTTACAGCTGGAAGAACACAACCACACACACATACACACGCACCCAATGCCATCCGTACACACACTCGTAAACATCTAACCCTAATTTGCATTTATGTGGGGCGGAGGCCAGTTGTGATTACCTGGCAAGCTCTTTTGTGCCATTCGTCGTCGGCTCCTCCGCAAAATGGCAATAAAAGCAATTCGCAAAAAAAATGTATATGTAGTTGTGTATGCTCACCGACCCGCAGATGCACACACATACACACATTCGCACACAGAAGGCTACTTATAAACTCACCTTAATTAAACGTGATTAAGTAGATTTCCCCGTTTTTCTGCTCGACGAACTGTTTAGTTGTCGATGATTTCTGTGTGTAATAGTGTGTGTATATGTGTGCTTAAGGTTGTGGGTGTATGTGACCTGTGCTTATTAGTTGCCATTTATTGTTGTTCTTCCAAGTTGGAAAGGGTATAATAACTTGCCCATCGAGGCTGCGGACAAATTAGCCGACCGAGAATGAAATCTAATTTATTAATAAAAGATTTAGTCAAACGAATTGACAAAGTTCTGAATTGCCAGCGAGATTCCTTGGGAATTAAGGAATTTATATGCAGTCTAGTTTTTACTTCTCTATTTGGTACTTAAAATGATAAAATCGTTTTCTTTTAAATTTGCAATATTTATTATAAGCCAAAAACAAAGTTTTTATTGACTGTCTAGCGTTGATTAAGAAATTTTATTTGTTCACTTTTGCAGCCACTAACTTGCTTTCTTAATCAAAAACAAATTTGACATAGAATCTTCTCAAACGTAATTATTATAAAAATGCTGGTGCTCTTTCTTTGAAATTCAAGAATCAACAGATAATTTGTTGCTATAAACTAACTTTATTAAAACTAACAAGAGATGAAATCGAATACACAATTTCGTGTGCTTCCTTCTCAAGAAGAAATTCTTGAAATTCAAGAATCCTGTTGTGCTTCAGACAAATTTCGCAAACCCAATTAATATATGGTACATACAGTATGCAACAGGATTATTTACCTTCTGCATTTCCAGAACATCTCCCCACATTCAAGTATGGGATTACTGAAATGTGTACAAATGGTTTAAGAATTTCAAAACTAATTTTCATAAGTTCTCCCCACCCAACTACGTCAGCGCCACACAAGGCACAATTAAAGCAAAATCTTTGCCATGTTTAATTTGGCCTGAGAACACAGCCACAGCCAGAATACCCAGGAGGGTATTCAAGTTTTCGGCTCAACCCAAATTAGCATTCAATTTCCATGCTTTTGCCTCGCATTGTTGGATGCTTGGGTTGGGTTCGCTGGGCTCACGTTGTTGTAATTTAGTTTCATTTGTGCACGAAAATGAATTCGTATTATTGTTTGCATTAATTTGCCTTATTAATTACGTTTATGCTTCTGACTATTATGTTTTTTTGCTCTCGCCATAGCTCTCCGCTTTCTGCCCTCCGCATCGTCCCCCTCGGCTTTTGCTACACCCCCCACTTTTTTCCCAGGGGGTAATTCGAGCATTGGCTGTGCGGGCAATCAAATAAATAATGAGACGGCGACTGCGGCTGCCGCTGTCTGAGTTCCCAGCTCTCCGCTGGCGTTCTCCGTCCGGATTGCGGAGTCGGGAGTCCGGACGGAGAACTCGGTCCGGAGTTCTCGGTTTGCTGGCCACTGCCGGCGTCTCTGGCGGCGTCGCTGTCGTCAACTTTGTTTAATATGCGCAAAACGTCGCAGAACTTTTGCAGCTACTTGTCGTCAACATCGTTGCCAGCGTCTCCTCCAATCTTCCCATTTTTCCCCCGTGGTTGTTGTGATTGTCTATGGCAACTTGCTTTTATTATTTGTTGCCGCTCGTCTGTATTTCTATAATTGCCTTTTTGCCTTTGTCTAGCCCAACGTCAAGTGTCTGTGTATCGGTGCGGGTGTATTTGTATTTGTATTCGTATTCGTATTCCTATTCCTATTTGTATTTGTATTTATATTAGTATATGTGTAGCTGTGCGAGTATCTCAACATTTTCAGTTGTCCTGCTTATGAAATTCTGAGTTCGGCTCGCCTCCTTGAGTTGAGTCGGTGAATCAGGCTCGCTGACAGCTTTCAATTTGACTGGGCCGGGGGGAAAATGCAATTTTCAATTTTCCTCGGCTGCCAGCCACGTGCACTGCAATTTGGCCCCGAGTTTAATTCAATTGATTGGCGATAGTTGCGGCTTTCAGCTTGACAGAGCGACGTGCAACGGGGCGTATGCGCCCGCCTCGTCTCGCTTCGCATTGCATTCGCATTGCTCATACGCCCCGTTCTTGTGGCACGCGGTAAAAGTTCTGTGGGGAAGCAGGAATTCCCAGAACTTCGCTGACTTAGCTGACTTTTGAACTTTCCCACACCCACACAAACGCTCATGCACAGAGAGACAGAAGAACACTTCGGTGCTGCTTGAATGACAGGAAAGAAACAACTTAAATGTCAACCCGATGAAGCCCGGGCACTCCGCCATAAAACTCGCATTTCACGGCACAAAAGCAGCAACCTCAAGCAGCGCACTAGGCCACGCTGATTTGTACACAGCCCGGCAGAGAAAAACACAACAAAACGGCTCAGAACAACAAAAAACACAACACTACAAGCAACAGCAGCAAAAACAAAAAAAGCAAAAAAGAAAGAAAACGAAAAAAAAAGCAGCAACGACAGGAGTGAAGAACAACGAGGAATCTGCTTCCGTGTTGATTGTTTCGTTTTGCCTGGCTTTGCTTTCAGTTCCAAGAGGAACTGCAAAAGACGACAGGACGACGCCCATAAAAAACGACTATGTCTGCGGGAATCGCTTTAAAAACAAGTGAAAGGAGCACGGCTGCACGAGCAGGGAAACCTGTCCATCAGCAGAACTATTGCAACAATAAGCAAGAGCAATTTGACAATTGAAGTGCTTCTTCACGAGACGGAGCCCCAAAAAAAAAAAAAAAACAAAAGGAGACCGAGACGAAGACGAAAATGGGGACTTCTGGCCAAAGTAGCCTCATCGCTTGCCAGGGAGCACTTGAGCACAGTTTCCGGTCATTTACACGTACACACACACTGGCACACTCAATCTGTGTGTGACACAGTATCCTACATTTTTATTGGCATCCTTTGCCCTCACACTGCATGTGTATGTTAGAGTTTATCAAATGCGTTGCACTACCAGCTTAACAGTTTGCCCGTAATTGCCGAGGAATCCCAATTGGAATTTTACCAATCCGGACCAAGGTCAGGCTGGCGTGGAAATTGAATTTTCCGCAGCTTTGTTTACACATTGTGCCAATTTAAAGCAATTACTTGAGCTGGGTTTTGTCCCCGCGGGCCAAGTTGCGTGGCCCACAAAAGCGAGCTATGAAAAATCACCAAAGACAATTGGACCCAACTTTCATAACTTTTTTGTGTATGTTTTTTCCTACTACTTTTGCTGTAAGGCGCGGACAAGGGAGGAAAGGCGGGGGCAAGGATGGGGGTCCTGTTTGGCTAGATGGATGGATGGATGGCAATTTCTGTGCACAGACTCCACGTGAAAAGCAGCACTAGTCTCTCTCTCTCTCGATTCTCTCTCTCTCTTCCCTCTCTTTTTCTGCACGGCTATCTCTGCGGGAAATCTAGCTCTCGGAAAATCTCTGCGCAGCTGCTGGCGCTGCCTCCTGCAGGATCAGGGTGTGGTGAGTTATGCTGCCGCTGTGTAAAAAGTAAAATGTCCTGGCCCTACCTTCTGCTGGCGTCGCTGCTGCTGCGCTGCTTCTCTGCCGACTTCGTTTACGAATTTTCCTGCTTCGCTGCGCGCTTTTCCACTGAACTTCTGCTGCTGCTGCTGCTGCCGTTACTGCTGCTTCTGCTTCTGCTGCTGCTGCTGGTTTTTCTTCTGCTCCTTCGCTGATATGTGACACGCACTCACACACTGGCACAGATACAAAACACTCACACACACACACGCGGGCGCTCTCGCTCTCACACACACACACGGGGACACGGACACACAGGCGCTTGTTGTTGCTGCTGCTGCTGCTAATGCTGCTGCTGCTGCTGTTTGTCTTGCTCTATTTGCCAGTAGTTGTCGCAATTATTCCGCACATTTTACTTTTGATTTATCTAGTTGCTGCTGGCATTGCTGCTGTTTCTCTCTATCGCTATCGCTATCGCCTCTCTCGCTCGCCCGCTGACTCTGGCTATCCTGCTCTCTCAAGCGCACCGTGTGTGTCAGTTGCCAGTTTTTTTCTTTTAACTGTTCTTTGGCCAAGTGAACTAGTGCACGTTTCCGCTTTTGTCAACCGAACACGTCAACTGTCTGCACCTGACTGACGGACTCCGCAGTTCCCGAGTTCTCTGCTCAGCAGAGCAGCACTCGCTGCTCAGCTCCCAAAGGCGTCGCTGCGCGAGAGAAGGCAGAGCGTCGACTCTCGCCATCTCTTGTGGATGCTGTTTAACGGGACCATCTCTTCGGTTCTCGCATCTCGGCGGCCTTTGTTTTGATTTATTTTTGTGGTAGGTTCTTGCCGAGATTGCCAAAGAGAGGATCCTAAGAGCGGGCCAAACGGCCACAGCCTCAATCGTGGGCGCCCAACTAAAAATAATACTTGTAGCTTAACCTTTTCCCACCCATCGCCCAACATCCTCTACCGCATCCCCCTGCCAATCAGCATTCAAAATCCAACTCGCAAAAGTATTCGAAGCGCAAAAATTTGCGCTGGCGGGGCAAACAAAATACCAGTCCCAAAAATAAATATCATAAAAATATGAAAAATAAATAAGTGAGCTTTGCGGAAAAGGGGGAAAGGCGGAATAAATATAAATATTTGGCCAGCTACAGTTACGCCCCGGCTTAACAAAAGGGCTGCTGCCCAATCGGGTTTTCAAAAGCGTTGGCCGGGGACTCTTGTTGATTTTTTTAAGCGGCCTCTGCTGCTCTTTATGCAAACTGCCGCCGCTCCACTTTCACCTCCGCCCCCCTCATGGAGCACACCCCAACCACCGCCCACCTCCCACTCCTTGCGCTCGCCCTTGTGTTGTTGCTGCTGTTTGCGGGTCGGGCGCCTCATGAATATGTAAATTGTTATTATTGCATATTGTTAGGCGCCAGCAGCAGCCGCGGAGCAGGATAACAGCGCCAGCAAGGACTCTTTCAGCTCCAAGCGCAGCTCAGGTAGCTCAGCCTGCCGGCCAAGAAAGTGGAGAGCGACGAACTTCCGCCGGAAATAGTAATTCCCGTAGATTTGACAAATGTCGCTCAGCGAATTAAATAATGAATACAAAGTTTCTTGCTAATACTTTCGCTTTAGCTTACGCTTTCTACACTAGAAAAACATGTCTCAAGAAATATAATTTATTGTTTTAATAACTAACTTATTCAACAAAATTGTATACATTCAAAAAGTATTAACTGACTGTATTTACAAAGGATACTCTTTAACAAATATTCATGACATAAAGAAATTCTTTTTATTGGCTGTACAAAATTTACAGATATAGCAAACTTAATAGCTTCTTTATTTTGTTTAGCAATAAAGTAATTATAAATAGCATGTAGTACACGTAAAACATGTACATGTAGAATTTCCAATACAATTCATCGATTGTATTGTTGCAAAACCTAACATTACAACAAACGAAAACTTGTAAAACGATTTAGAGGGCAAAGTAAAACAGATATTTTTAGGCTTATTTTGCCGCCCGAGAATCTGCTCGGGGCGAATTAAATTCCGGGCGGATCGGGCGTCTTTAAGCCAGAGCAAATCATTGTCAATGGCGACGGCTACACCTAGGCAACAAAGTAATGGCTGTCAAACGAACACACTCATAGTGAAAGGACACAGACACACACGCATGTACTTGAGGAGCCTTGACAACCTGAACAAGCCAAAGAACAAGACATTTGCCGCGGCGACTTTGATTGGCAGCCTTCTTGGTAAAAGGACGGGGGGCTTCCATCTGGAAGGTGGGGCGAAATCGTTCTGCCCGAGGATGCCTGTTTGCGTTTGTGTATGTGCGTGTTTGTATGTGTGTTTGAGGCACGCTGTCGTCACCTTCATCATCGTCATCTATAATAACATCAAACAGCGCACTGCCCAGACACCAAAGGCCCACCAGATTCCAGTTCGCCAGCTCTCAGATCTCGGCGATTTCTGCGTACCGCTCCGCCACCCTCCACTCCCCCTTCCCACCCTCTTCTGGCCACAGCCCCACGTCCTTCGGCACCTTAGGACAATTCCGGCCACCAGCCTCCCCGCTTGTTATCACGCGCAATAAAAAGCTTGCCAGCATTTCGGTTTTTTCCCATCTTCAATACCCTGCGAAAAGGGTATGGAGCGTTTGCCGAGATTCTCCAGGGGAAACATGGTACAGACTTGCAGATTCCCGCTTCTGTTTGCCCTGGGTTCTGGGGATTTTTTAAGGGCGCCATTCGTAGCAGGACTTAAAGTGGTACAAGGCGTGTTCTAAATAATGTACACTGTGTGTTAAAAGCACTCGATGGAGTGAAGAACATTTTAAAATAACTTTTCGTTATTTGTCCTACAGTTAAAATAGTTCCTTACCGAGAAACCATTACGCTAAAGAGGGAATTGTTTTAAGAACTTAGATTAAAAACGATTAAAACGAAATTTAAATTAGAATTAAAAACTAAGTTGGGTTTTATATACCTAAAAACTTTACCCAATCTTAAAACCGATTATAAATCTTGTGTGTTAAAGTAGATAATAATAAAAGGTAATTCACACAATCTTTTTACCAGCAAGAAAAAGTATCCTAAGGATTTATGGCTATTTGTCCTGATTTCTTCAAGGGAATCGGTTATCATCCTTTTTAAAATCCCCCCAGAGCATCAAAGCTTCGTCATCCCCCATCGATGTTTTACTTTTTCAACTGATGCTTACTTGATTTTTCCTTCCTTGCGATTTTCAAACATTTACTTTCGCTTTTTGCAAAGGAAAACATAGACAAACACACACACGCGCGCACACACACACACACACATAGAGAATCACACAGAAAGGGAAAGAGGGAAAAGCACGTATTCAAATTGTGGGTGGCAATTGGAGTCCCCCCTCTGCTCCCGCGGCATTTTCCCCGCCCGCTGGTCATAGGCAAACGCAGCAACAACAACAACTACTACAACGTGGAAAAATACGCCCCGTGTTCGCAGGCGAAAATTGTTGTTGGTGGGTGTGGCAGACTGCGACGTCGACTGAGGCAGCGGCGTTGCCTGAATGCGCGTTTAGTTTCAAGTGTTATTTTTGTACTAGAAGCAGCAGCCGAAGAGATTGAGGGGTGGTTGGGTGGCCGGGCGGGTCGAAGGACTCGTTCTGCGTCTTCGTCGTTGCTGGGCTGCCTTTTTCTTCTTCTTCATCTCGTCCTCGTCGCCTATTTCGGCTGAAGTGCGTAATTGATGTGAAAAGTGGCAACAAACTGTTTTTTATTTGCGCTTGCTTTCAATTTGTTTAAATTGCTGGGCGCTGTCTTTCCACTTGCCACACTCACACAGAGACACACACCCGCACTCGCTCTTACACACACTCGCTCGCACACTCATCGACACACCCACACACACATTTTTAAACGCTGATTGAAGTTTTATTGAATTTTAAATTGCACTGGCCTTGGTTTGAGTTCGCTTTCCTTCTGCTGCTTATTTTCACTTTCCACTTTGTACTTGTGCTTATTTGCTGACTACTCCCCATATACACATTGGGAAAAATGTTGTATTTCGCTGGCATTCTTTGGAATCTTGTAACTGAAACAATAGCTATAAAAGTTGTATAAACTAGTTATTGTTCATTTAACTATTTCAGTAGTTTCTAAAGATAAATATTAGGTTAAAAAAGTAAAGCTAAAACACTGCATCTCCATAAAAAATTATACCAGACATTAAAACAATCTTAATTGTACAATTGTTTAGTTTTAAATATATAAATTACATTGCTTTTTCTCAACTGAATTGATTGCATTTCATGAATAAATGTTTTTAAATGATTTCAACACGCATATTATTCATAAAAATGAAATGAGCTTAAAGCTAGAAACCTTACACTATACTTTTTAGTAGTATATATACTAATACAAATTGAATTAAACTTTAGATTGCCACATTTCTCCCTGTGCACTCACACTTTTTCCTCACGCTTACCGTCTTCATCTCGCTCTTGCTGCTTGAGTGTTTTATTGTTGACACAAATAATGTCACTCAAAATGTCAAAAAGAGGCCGCTGGAATTTTGTACCATTCTTATTTGTGTTTTTGGTTTTCCTTTTTTTTCCCCCCAGCCGATTGCCAAGTGCTGAGGTTTGACAAACATTAAAGTGAGTTGTCAGGTGCGTGTTTTTATAGGCAACAGGAATATAAATGGCGAATAAACGCCAACTCCCCATTGGCGTCAATCCAGCGCTATTTGCCACTCATTTTCCGCAAATTTTCCCGGCTGGCAACAATTTAGCGAAACTCCCACAACTAATTGTAATCAGCTGCCTCTGCGGCACGCCCCGTCCGTCGGGAGTTCGGAGCGTCAATTACTTAGCCTTCATTGAGAGGAGCAGCTGCCGCAAGTCAAATAAAACATATTACAAATGACTCTGCCACCCTCTATTCCCCCGATTCTCCCTGAATCCGGGCATTACTCAGCCTTAAGAGCTCGTCCGACGCGGTGGCAGCAATCTGACAAATTTCGCACAAATTATGCGTTGGCCACAAAAATGATGACGACAACGATGGCACGAATGGGCGGCGGGAATGCCCGGCGCCCGGGCTTCTGATTCCAATCCCGATCCTGCGGACGGCAACAAAAGGCGACGAAATTATTATTGCATTAAGTGGAATTATTAAATTTCATCGACGACGCCGACGACGGCTCAGCGAAAATAAAAATAAATAAATCTAATCAAAAATAAGCACACAAATAAAATGGCAAATGATAAAAAAGGAATGCGGCCGGAAGAGGACACAAACCAAATAAATCAATAAAAGGAGACAATAACACGAAATTCGGTCCCAGTCCTCGAACAGAGAGAAAAATATATAGTTAATGGGTTTACTATTTATATTCTATTTTAAAGATAATATAACAATATGAAATAAGTTCCAAACTCTCAAAACATAAAAAATTTTAAAAGCAAAATAAAGAAAGTGTAATAAGTTCAGATTGTATATCAATCATTTTTAATTCCAGGTGATCAAACTTTTAAGAAAACACAACCACAATTTATAATTTAAACTTAAAGCAATAGAATAACATTTTTATATAAAACTGATTATAGTTTAAAACGTTGTCACCTGAAAATGTAATAAAAAATCCA